TATTTGAAGTAGCAGCAGCAGAAGTATTATTAGTTAGATCTGAGCCCACTTTTTAAAGAAAGTGAAAACAATTTTGGTCTACTTAAAGAGGTCTGAGTGAACTCAAGTGGGAAAACACCCTCAGACTACGTCTTACACTTCATCGTTACTCATAAGAAGCAACAGAGCGGCAAATGAATTCCCCGAATTAGTTTATGGGAGAGAGAGAGGGAGGCGCTTTACCTCTTGCGCTTTGGAGACTGCCTTTTGTCCATAATCACCGGCACGCAGTTGGTCAGTTCAGTCCAGTCTGCGTGCAAACCGCAACTCCAGCCCGTGGAGAACCTTGAGAAGAGCCAGGACTCCTGCTTACCGGGCCGGTGGCACGTGCATTTCTTCTGTCCCGCTTTACAGTCGCACGGCTGCTCCAAGCGAATATTCCTGACCAGGTGCCTGCCAAAGGTGGTTCCTCCTGTCTTTTGAATGTGCAGAAACACAATCACATCATCTCCCCTGATGTTGAAATCGACATCGCGTGTCAGATCGCGCTCTGTGAAGTTGAATTTGAACGCACATTTAGGTGGGCTGTCTTCCTCCGGGTCCAACTCCCGGTACAGGTCATCGATAGTCGGGTCTGGAGTGGGCAGGGCACCGATCCTCACGAGTTTCTCTTCTGTCCTGAAATGGCAAGCATGACCGCCTGCCGGACAAATATACTGGTACCCAATCATGACAAAAAGAATGGCTAAAATTGGGATGAAAATCCATTTGTTGGGTTTATCATTCATTTTAACACAAGGAAATTGTTCATGCGGTTAGTGTGAATCATGATATGCTCTCCAGGTCTTCTCCCAGGACGTTCGCGAGGGATCCAGCCCAAATGCCCCATGCCACATGTTGATATGATAAAAAGATGCGCGAAAGTGTGTCATCCAAGTCTTCACATCAAACTCTCACAAAGTTGTGAAGATAGTGTCCACCAAACATAGGCTAATAAATTGCATAACCAAATATGCAATAGAACCGAACCTTAAGTATAAGACTTAACGTGGTCGCTCTGTGCAAATGAAACGATTCGTCTCGTTGGTCTGTTTTATTCTGCGGAATCTCCACGCACTAGCAACGAGTCTGTGTTTTCCATCCATCCCGAGACGGCGGCGCGCATCAGCGGGATGATGCGAATGATGTCAACGACGCCTGTCGCGCCAGTAGACTGTAGCACGAGCTCTTTCGTAGCACGCGAACAATTTCATCTGCACCTGGTCCCACTCCAGTGCTTAGGTAGTCTATTCAGCAATAAAGTGGCATAGGTTACTGAGAAAATGCACTGTGCGCATTTTATTATTTTCTTCACAGTTCTTTGCACTGTGCAATCTTTGTACCATATTTGGGGGAAATTGTCTACTAAAGGAATGCTACGGAAATTTTATCATAATTTGATGCCAATCCAATTTGATCGAGAAGCATAATGTATAAAAAAAAATAAGATGAGTCCATATGAACGCAACGTGTTTAATACATTTTCTTCCTATAGAAAACCGTTATAAGAAAACGCTTAACATGGCTTGCTGAACTAAGACAGTGACATTGAAAGACCAAACTCAGTACTGTATAAAAAATAAGATTAGTCCAAAATATGAACACAACGCGTTTAATTACACGTTTCTTTCCATAGAAAAAGAAGAAAACGCTTAACGTTAACGTGGCTTACACTAAAACTTGCGTTCATATTTTGGACTCATCTTATTTTTATACGTGGTTTAGGATATTAATATGATTTGTACTGAGTTTGGTCTTTTAATATCACTGCCTATGTGCAGTAAGCCACGTTAAGCGTTTTTCACGTTAAGCGTTTTAAAACGTCCCATTCTCCCGGAAGAATGAGATTCCTGGACAGTCTGTCTGGGACGTCGTTCAGATGGCCCGGAACATGCGTCGCTCTTAGCGAGAGCAGGTGGCTCTGGGACCAAAATAAAATGCGTTTCGTCAGCAGGAAGAGGTTCCTGGATCTGACACCGCGGTTGAGATAGCAGCCATATTGTCCGAGACTACGGTTGAGTAACTTAGTCGGTTGGAGACTACGGTTGAGGACTACGGTTGAGATAGAAGACTGGTGACCCCGCCCGAATGCGCGAGAGGAAAAACGCGAGTGCGTTCTCGACCGCGATCATCTCCAGACAGTTTATGTGTAGGGAGCTCTCTTGAACTGACCAGTGGCCAGAGGCCGATGAGCCCTCGCAGACCGCGCCCCAACCTGAGTTGGCTGCGTCTGTCGAAATGACTTTACGGCGAGAGACGATCCCCATGGTAACGCCCCGTTGAAACCTTTCTGCCACTGTCCATGGCTGCAGAGCCGAGAGACAGGTCTGCGTAACTTTGATCAGCTGGCGGCCCGTGGTCCACGCACGGTGAGACACACGGCTCTTCAACCAAAGCTGAAGGGGGCGCGCATGCGCAGTAGAGCCAGCTGAAGCACTGCTGAGGCCATGTAGCTGCTAGCGCCTTCTGAAAACTTTTCAGAGGCGTGAGGATGTCCATCTAAAGGGATGCGGCGAGACGCTGAACACGGCGCGCGCACTGTGTAGATAAAGCGAGCCGTCATAGTAGCCACTGAGTCTAGATCTAACTTATTCCTAGGAAGGAAATCGTCTGACTGGGCTAGTGAGCTCTTTGTCCAGTTGACAGCGAAGCCCAATGTGTTCAGATGGTCGAAGAGTACTGTACGATGAGACAGTAACTCCGTCTGTGATTGTGCCAAAATCAGCCAGTCGTACAAATTATTCAAAATTCGCAGCCCCTGACTCCGCAGGGGGCGAGCGCCGTATGCACTTGAACGTACGGGGTGCGAAGGATAAGCCGAACGGGAGGACGGTGTATTGATAAACCTGGCCGTCGACGGCGAAACTTAGAAAGGCCTATGACGGGGATTTATCTGGATCTGAAAATAGGCGTCTTTCAGATCTAGAGAGATGAACCAGTCGTCCTGGCGTAAATGCGCGAGGAGTTTCTTGACTGTAGCAGGGCATTTTGAACGGTCTCCTCATGAGCGCTTTGTTCAAAAATCTGAGATCTAGGATCGGTCTGAGGCCGCCGTCTTTCTTGAGGCCAGGAAAATAACGGCCGTAAAACCCCGACTCGCTCATAGAAGGTGGAACTCTCTCTATAGCCCTTTTGGACAAAAGCTTTGCTATTTCTGATCGAAGCGTGTTTGCTGCTTCTGAACTCACTGTAGTTTCGAGCCGCGCCCGAAAGCGTGGAGGGCGGCGACGGGGCTTAACAACCGCGGGGAGATTCCCGGAATAGCTTCCCACGCTTTGTAGCGCGACGCTAGTGGGTGACTGGCTATATCGCCCTGATTGTTGCACACAGCGGGCTGGACAGTGTGTGGGCACGCGAGTGTTTATGGGACTTAAACTCAGAGAAGAGTTTATGGGCGGTGTAACAGAGCGGGCAGAGGGGGGATGCACTCGAGCGAGAGACGACCACTCTATGGGGGTGGGCTCTGAGAGAGACAAGAGGCCTGTGATACTTGTGTGTATGGGTGAACACAGGGTTGTGGGCACATTTTCTACACAAGAGGCTTTTACGCTCCTTTATAGGTTTCTCTGAGCCGCCGTGAAAACGGCGTTTCGGGGGCTCGCAAGCGGGAAGATGCACAGGCCGGCTTGTTTGTGGCGAAAATCTCAACTGAAGTAGCTAGCCAGGTGAGAGGGGACTAACAGCGGGCGAAGCTTTGACGGCGATCCGGCCGCAGCGGGAGAAAGCAGTCTCATTCTCAGCTGTGGTAGGCAGACTTCTGTTGTTCGGGCTTCTGCGCCCGGGGGGGACGGGTGCCTATGGCGGCTGTCTGAGCGAGAGCGACCGCCCTGTCTGCGCTTAGCTTGTGTGTGAGCTTGCGGAGTTGGGCGCTGGGGTGGGGCTCGTGCAGGGGAAGACCAAGTGCGGCGGGGCAGAAACAGATTCATTGCCTGGGAAGCTTCCTGAACTTCAGAAAACCGGTCAACGATCCCTCAAAAAGTGGCGCGTTGAGGAAAACGCCGCGTTCAGAATCCCCCATGTCGGCGAGCGTGAGCCACAGATGTCTCTCTGATGCACAAAGGGCGGCCATGCATCTCCCCAGGGCTTGAGCGGCGGATTTAGTGGCGTGAAAGGCGAAGTCCGTAGCGCTCCTCAACTCCGTAACGGAAGGTGGTTGTTTCCCGCTCTTATCCCACTCGCGAAGAATGTCGCTCTAAAGCATCTGGAGGACAGACAACGCCGAAGACGAGTCACAGGCGGCTGAAATAGGTGCTGGTATGGTGACTTGATTGAATAACTATCTTAACAGCTTCCGGGCTGGGTATTTATACACTCGAGCCACGCCCATTTTGGCGGGCTATGACACAATGAGAGAGTGTCCGCTTCTCATTGGCCGCGAGTTCAGCCCAGCTCCCCCATACGCTGTAGCAGTTCTCTGTAAGCGAACCAATGAGCTGCTAGCTAGCCCGCTCTGCGTTGACAATGGATACAAATAAGCTAAAATATTATTTGGATACAAATAATAATACATTTTTGGCTTCAACTTCTCAGAAAAGATATGCAATACGAGAGAACCTCTCGTAAGAGAACTATAAATTAAACAGTAAAAAAAAACAAAAAACAAATCCTTACAATTGGCTATATCTGATATTTGTAGCCAATTAGGCTTTGTGATTTGTCTTTACAGATATTAATGAGATGTAACATGTAGCCTAACTATGCTATAACGTTACCAATATTTTAGGTTAAATTAATCAAACCGGGGAAAACATCAACATGAACTTCACAGCTCTGCCGTTACATCCCTATGTCTAGTTGTCCATGAAAATGCCTGAACGACCAACTCATGTATACAACTTCTAAAACATGCAAATCCTGTAAGAAATTTTACTGCTATAATAACTAAGAATCACTTTTATTTGTTTTAAATATTAAGCCTATCAGTCGCTAAAATGTTGACGCGGTTTTACTAAAGCAGAATGAATGTGTCGCATATGTGGAGGAGGGAATAAAGATGCAGGACCCCCTCAATGGCGGCGTCCAGTGAAACGGACGGGTAATACAGCGGCTCAGTGTCCGATGAATTAGGTATTTGGTATATAATTATGAATTAGATGAAACGTATAAGTGTGTATATCAGAGGCATGTGGCGGTTTATTGTTTTTGAAAAATATGTTGCTTATAGTCCAGAAAGAAACGCTAATGATGGTTGAACAGTTTGTGATGCATGTCTTTATGGTTCTCCCCCTGTTTCTTCATTGGTAAGAATGACCAGTCACAATCAAGGTCTATTTCATCTGATTTGCATAAATTGTATGAAACGGGCAATGAGGCTGATGTCTGTGAAAGAATGCAACAATTATGCATCTAATTGACACTTAACGTTACATTGTATACGTGGCGTTTTACTGCACAGATTAGACTTGCTGTATCTTCTTTTACTGAAAAATGATAATTTTGCTAGTTTTTGCTGCAGTGAATGTGGAAGTTGTTTTCTGATCAGACATTTTATTGACTGTTGTCACGTTATGTTTTTTGGGGGGTGAGTGAGGGTGTGTTGTCTTATTAGATGGAGTGAGTTGTTATGATTGGAACTAATTTTGGTCACAAATTTGAAGCACTAAACAATAATAGCTCTTATGGCTACTTTTCCTACGTTTTTAGCTCTTTCTAGAATTTCTAGCTATTTTGAAATGTATGCAAATTATCCATCAATCTTTGTATAATGGAGCAATGTATTTTAATGTTATTGATTAAAGTTATAATAGTGTTATCTTTAATGTACTTTTAGCAGTGTCTGATCATGAGGGTGGTCTTTATTGTGCTGGTCTTGCTGAGGTTCCAGCATGTGCACTCAACATCTAAAGGAGTCATCGCCAGTCTTCAGGCCAAATGGGACATGACCCCTCTTCTGCTTGAAACAAGGTGGGCTGGAAATGTAATTGTTATCCTGTAATTCAGTATCTCGCTAGCTACTCTTTCTTTTTAAATGGTTGACTTCATGCGTAAAAAAACAAAGTTTGTTTATTGAACTTTGTCCATGTGCTATAAGTTGGCATGAAATGTACATTTATTCATTTAGCTGACGCTTTTATCCAAAGCGACTTACAATTGCTATATATGTCAGAAGTCGCTCGTCTCTGGAACAACTAGATGTTAAATGTCTTGCTCAGGGACACATTGGTGTCTCATAATGGTTTCGAACCCGGGTCTCTCACACTAAAGGCATGTGTCTTATCCACTACCCCATCACCATGTGACTATTACACCAAATATAAGGTGTAATAGTCTTTTCTTCCCTATTGGGATGTAAATGCACGTAAAAATGGCTTCTTGAATAAAATAAAAGCTAAGGCAGGTCTTGACTTTGTCCATTGGGAATTGGATTGTTGGATGATTGGATGGTTGTGGTTTGCCATTGCTGTGATCTCGTGTGAGTGACAAGAGGTCCCGCCCTCACGCTAGTAAACACGTGATTAAAGAATACGAGAGCTTATACATTTAAACTAAATGATGTGCATGGATAATGTATAATATAAATGCTGAAACATTCCATAAAAAAATAAGAATTGTCCATTTTGATTTTATGGTGATTTTAATAGCTTTTCATTAGATCAACAGAGCATTTTTCTCTCTCTGTCAGAAACATTTTATTTACTTTTAGTATACATTGTGTTTCATGCTTGTTTTGTGTCTTAGTTGTTTTGTAAACCTAATTTTGTGCAGCGAGTTCATCCGAGAGGATGGTGACGAGAAGTTCTGGCAGTTTGTTGATACTGTGAAGGAGTTAACGGTTTACAAAAATGGAGGTAATGACTGACTTTTATCTTCTCTGCAATGATTCATAATTCACTGAGTGGTTGGTATGCATGATGGTGTTTTGTTGAGTTACACATGGATTGGAAATAATGCAGATATCTACTTTCCTGTCTTTAGAGTCTGTCCGGTCATATTATAACCTGATCATCAAGAAAGCTGGACAATTTTTGACGGATCTTCAGGTCAACCTGCTGAAGCTGTCTCTGTCTCTCAGGACTTACTCACCAGCTGTACATGCTTTCCAACAAGTGAGTTCTTTTCTGGATATAATATTGATTTCAGACAAATACAACTGCTTGACACCATGACACGTCTGTTTTTCCTATAGAATACCACCACAAACATTTCTAATAGTTTTTTTTTTTTTGGTACATTTGAAATGACCATCACTAGGGGAGAGCGGGGCATTTTGGTTTTGGCTCAATTAATTAAAAAAAATAATTAGGTTAGATTAATATATATATTTTTTTTTTTACACAAGCAACATAGACATCTCTGCTACAAATGAACACTTAAAGTTTTTTCTAGTACCTACCATTTTCATACAGTTGCATTGAAAGTGACAGAAGTGCAAATGTTACAACTTGCCCCATATGCGGGGTTAATTGTAACAGACAGAGGGGTTAGTTGTAACACTTGTGTGTAACACACATAATTCAGTAATATTTTATTTTTATAGTTTGATATTGTTTGTGCATCTGTATAGACGGATATCCATACATCCCTCATCCAATCATCCTTCTATTATGGATCAATATCATGAATAGAGACATAGAAAAGGGCTGCACAGTTTTGCAATAAATAATAATAAATAAAATTATAAAATATTTTAATTGCAGTTAAATTAGATTTGTGTGTGGCTGCTGCATGTACAATTATTAATAATAATAACAGTAATAATAATACAAATGAGCTTAAAATAAAAATGTAAAGGGTTTATTGCATTAAAAACAGGCCATATTTGTAATAAATAAACAAGTTATCATTCATAGTACACTAAATTTTAAACATTTAAATTCCAACATTGTTTGTGAAAGTCCAACAAAGTTAAATGTATACTCAAACCTGAAATGTTGTGTGGCTCCGTTTTCATTTGATTCTCATTGTACACTTGGCGGCTTAGTTGTAACACTGTGTTACAACCAACCCCGCTGTGTATTAAATATTTTAAGCCTAGCTAACAGTTGCTAGGAATTGCTGACATGTTTCAAAACAGTGCTATGTTTGAGTCAACAAGTGATTAAGGCAATATAAAGTTAAATTTGGTGACATACACACCCAACCAACAGAAACCGAAAAAAAATCTATGATGAAAAAATTTACTTTCATGGTGTCAAAACACTCTTTGTCCAGTATCTTCACGAAATATAATCAAAACTTGCCGTAAATTCACGGGATACCGTCTTCTGACAGCAAGAGAAAAAGAGCGGAAACACATCCTGCCTGATCCTGACCAACTATGTAAAAGGTCCGTGTTACATTTAACCCCGCGTTAGGTTGTGCCCCGTGCTCCCCTATGTGGTTTACCTCATAGAAAGTATTTGTTAACTCCTTCTTTTCATTCTATAGATCGCAAGTGATGAACCTCCTCCCGATGGATGCTCTGCTTTCATAGTTGTCCATGGTCAAAAAGCCTGTAGCACCAAGGAAATGAAGAAGCTCTTGAAGACAGCAGCAAACCGGTAATGTTAACCAACAATATATTGTATTCAGAAATATTTGATAATAATATATTGATGAATAAGAGGAACTATTTTATTTTGATGCACATATTTGTACATTAGCAGGAATTTAGCACAATATGGATGTGAAAGCAGTTATAATTAGCCTATGTGACAATAAAATTTGTTTTTTTTAAATAAAAAAAATAATCATGATAATTAATTGTGATCTTAATCTTAATCAAAATAATCGTTATTATCATTTTGGCCATAATCATGCAGCCTTAAATCAGAGATACTGTATCTGGTTAGGGATATTTGATATTTAAGTATTACCAAATACATGGTTTCATGTTGGATTCTCATAACATTTTTACACATGCAGACCAAGAACTTACCTATACAAGTCTGACCACCAATACCCAGGACTCAATGAGACAGACCTGCCTGTAGCTGTTCTTTATGCTGAAATTGGCACCAAGGAGTTCAACACTTTCCATAAGGTTCTGTCAGAGCGGGCACAGGAGGGCAAACTCATCTATGTGCTACGACACTTTGTGTCTGTGAGTATTAGCGTATGTAGTGTGTAGGTATATAGTGTGACTTGTATACTGATTGTCTTATTGTCAGCTGTGCAATGGAAATCTTTATCTTGATTTTATGTAATAATATAGTTTATATACTATTTATGAATTTCTTCAAGTCTGTGCCATATTATCAATATTTGTTGCCCCACACTGATTTGTCACTACAGGAGCCGAAAAATGAAAGGATGCTGTTGTCTGGATATGGCGTTGAACTGGCAATTAAAAACACAGAGTACAAAGCCGTTGATGACACACAGGTTAAAGGTATTGTACAATGTCAAATTGTTGAATTGATTGATTAAGATTATAAATGGCTAAACTCAGTAACAGTTTTATTATAATAAAAATAGTCAGTGATAGGAAATACAATAGGGTTAAATTATGAGTAACTCGACAAACTATACTACAGTTAAAAAAAACTTTGGGCTCAGTAAGAATTTGTTTTGGGAAGAAATTAATATACTTTTATTCAGCAAGGACACTTGACTGTAAATACTATTTCATATGCTGTTCTTTTGAACTTTCTAATCATAAAAAGATCCTGAAAAAAATCCATCACAGTTTACAAAAAAATATTAAGCAGAACAACTGTTTTCAAAATTGATAATAAGAAGAAATGTTTCTTGAGCACCAAATCAGCATATTGGAATGATTTCTGATTTGATCACAAAATGAAGCCTTGGTGAACATAAGGAACTTCTTTCAAAAACATTGAAAAATCGTACCGACCCCAAACGCTACTTAATTGAAAAAGCAATTAGCTATAAACAAAAGTTGCTACCAATATTGAAACAAATGAATTGAAACTGATGTGCATTTGTTTGCAGAATCCAAATCAGTCACCACAGATGAGGATGAAAATGATGAAGTCCAGGGATTTCTGTTTGGGAAATTGAAGTAAGCACGCTAATGTTTTTTTTTTTCTCTCGTACCTTTATATGTAGCCATATATTAAAATGATTATTGTGTTGTGTTGTGCTTACTCACAAAAAAAGTACCATGGTGCTGTAGTGCACATTATGTGAAAAAGTGTCCTCCTTCCCCTCCAGAAAGTCTCACCCAGAGCTTCAGGAAGAACTTGGAGAGCTGAGGAAGCATCTATTGGAGAGCACCAATGACATGACTCCACTCAAAGTGTGGGAGCTCCAAGGTGGGCTGGCTTCTGTTATTGATGGTTCTCTCTTACGGTGTTCTGGACTGTGCTGTGCTGCGTCTCCGATCACCCAGTGCGATTAAACCGATCCACATGGTTCCTGGCGAGAACTGTCCACTTGATGAATTAGGAAGCAGTGGAAAGGTTGCAGTTTGTACCCTTTGCTTGCTGCAGCGATCTGTCCTACTCCTGTTCGGACTTCTGAACAGATGCTCATGTCCACAGCCAAGTTCGATTTTGCCCTCTGAGATCTCGAGCAAAAATGGCTAAATAAGAGCTGTTTTAGTTTTGTGCGACTGATAGATAAATGAAGCAATTTATTGTACTTGATGTGAAGAGCTCTCCATGATGGCTATTGAAACGGTCGGTTGATTTTTGTAATAACTTTGGAGTGGAATTGTAAAATCCGGTGGAATTTTTTAATCTTTTTGTCCAGACTCTTTAGACTAGTTTTAAAAAAAATGCTTTATGGCTTAATACTTTCACTCATCAAACATATATTAAAACCTTTCATAATTGTCAAAAATCTAAATTGACACATTGTACTCATCCGGATGTGTTTCCAAACCTGTATGATGTTTGTTTTTCTTGTAATATGAAAAGAAATGAGAATTCTCCTGTTTACTATGCAATAGGAATGGTCCTTAATTATTCACGAATCAAGAATTGCTGCATGCTTTTGCATGAAGAAGAGTTCAGGCAGACCTTTGATGCATTGCTCACACGCCTTTTTTTTATGATTCCTTTGCATTGTGAAGATAATTGAATTGAACTTTTAGATTCTTAAAAAAAAAATGTGTAAGCATTTAGATTTATATATATTTTTTTATAAATAGTTGTAACTTAATCTTATATAGCAGACTTTCTTTGTGGATTATTGGCTTCTTTAAAAAAAAAAAAAAAGATTTTGAAATGCCTTCTCTGTCTTTCCAATAGACCTCAGTTTCCAGGCAGCTTCTCGGATCATGACTGTGCCAAAGTTTGATTCTCTCAAATTAATGCAAGACCTCAGCCAAAATTTCCCCAGCAGAGCAAGGTAAAAAGTCTTGGTCTTGGAATCTTAGGCAAAAATCATTACCTTTGTTATAATACTATCCATCAGAATTCAAAACGAAGAAATGAAATATATTTCAACAAATGGTTGCATTGTAAAAGGGTAATCTTTAAAGGGTTAATACATCCAAAAATGTACTCGCCCTCAAGGCATCATAGGTGTATATGACTTTTTTCTTTCAGCCAAACACATAGTTAAAAAAAAAGAAGATATTCTGGCTCTTCCGAGCTTTATAATGGGAGTGAATGTTTTGTTTTGTTTTTTAAGCAAAAAAAAAACCCATCCATGATACATCATAAAATTAATCCATATGGCTCTGGGAGGTTAATAAAGGCCTTCTGAAAAGTGGTGCATATTCATAAGAAAAATATCCGTATTTATAACTTTATAAAATATAATCACCGGCTTCCGGTATTGGCTGTACGTGGGTCTAGTTCCGTCAGAAGAGTGACCTCTAACCTGACGCATGACATATTGATAAAGGCATAAGTTGAGTATGGACGTTACCGGAAGCCAGTGATTATAGCCTATCCATCCATCCATATTCTTCCGCTTATCTGTGGCTTGGTCGCGGGGGCAGCAGTCTAAGCAGAGATGCCCACACTTCCATCTCCCTAGACACTTTAGCTCTTCCGGGGAGGGCACCGAGGCTTTCTCAGGCCAGACGGGAGACATAGTCCCTCCAGCGTGTCCTAGGTCTTCCCCAGGGTCTCATTCCAGTGGGTCGTGCCCGGAACACCACCCTGGGAAGTGGGCAAGCCACCATTATAGTTTATAAAGTAATTTTGGGGCCTTTATTAAACCCCTGGAGCTGTATGGATTACTTTTGTGATGCATGGGTGTACTTAAAAAAACAAGGTACCATTCACTACCATTATAAAGCTGGGAAGAGTCAGGATATTTTGGAATATAACTCAAATTGTGTTTAATTGAAAGAAGAATGTCATATACATCTAGGATGGCATAAGGGGAAATGAATTATGAGATTATTTTAAATTTTGGGTGAACATTTTAAATTATTTTTTACAATGCTTCCATTTAGCCAAATTAAAGAACCTTGGGAACAGGAGTATCTGTAACAGTTTTTGCTGTAGAATATCCCACTATCCATTTTTTTTTTGCATGTGTAACGGCACAGAATGCATGCATATGCATTATGTCTAGGTCATTTTTAATGTGTGGCATTGACTTTCATTCACTGCTGCTCTAGACAGCTTTATGTGCAGTGTTCAGAATTTGCTGAGTCAGAATTACTGTGGTTTACTGTTTGTCAGTATAGCTGATATGGCATCTAAGAGAGAACAGGTTTTCTGAGATTAAAATGGGTTTTTATGACTGTTCTGGGATGTTGGCTTGGGCTGATACTCAGTGTACATGTTTTACTGTCCCCACAGATCACTGACAAGAGTGGCTGTAAACCAGAACATGAAAAAGGAAATAGAAGATAACCAAAAGGTAAGGTTTTTTTCCAACAAGTTTTCTGATGAGCACTGTAAAAACAGTTCCAAGTGCAGCCAAATGGACTCCAAATGTTCTGATTTATTTTTAGAAAATGAAATGGGTCCACATTCTGAAGTGTCTTGAGCCTTTCAGATGATGTATCCATTACAACAATTTTAGGAAAGTTTCAGCATATCAAATGTCAATAATATATTTTTTTAAATGAAGTCCATAGAGTGGTGGTGTAGCTTAATGGTAAATGCTTGCTGATTCAAGCCACATAAGAAGTGAGCCATGACTCTTAATTGAAACGCCCAACCCCAAGTTACTTCAGAGGGACTGAACCTGTAATGTATAAACAGGAAGCTGCTTTGGATAAAAGCTAAATGCCACTAAAGCCCACTGAGTTCAAGGTCACGGTATAGCTGTCTTCATCTGACCTGATATTTACTTTGCAGAGGCTGAGTGAGTCGATGGGGATCCAACCTGGAGATGCCAGTCTTTTTATAAATGGAATACATGTTGATCTGGACGTTCATAACCCATTCAGGTATCATCCCAGCACAAGATTCTCTTACTGACTGGTTGGTTTCTGTCTGCTGTTCAAAGTAGTAGTGTGTAATTGGCACCACACTAACATTCCCCAACATGTTTTATGTGTGTTAATCACATACTGTACATTTTCAACTGCTCTGTAGCATCCTGGACATTCTCAGAGGTGAGGCTAAGATTCTTGAAGGTCTTCATAACCTTGGCATCAGAGGAAGCAGCATTAGTAAGTTCCTGCATTTACCAACATCAACCACTGTAGAAGACAGCTACGCTCTGGACATCCGCCACTCATCCATTATGGTGAGATGCTAATTCATTAAATGTAGTTGTAAAGCTCAAAAGTTGATTTCTGGAAGTAAAAGCTATACCAGGTCTAAATAGCAAAATTGGTTATAAAATAAAAACCAATTCAACAAAATTCAACTTGGAATCAAATGTCGTAATACATTTTGTTTTTGCTTAATTTTTTTCGAATGCTGAAAATAGATAGGGAAAAAAAAAGCTTTTACTGTTCACATGAAGGCTTTTACAATTTAGCAAATGCCTGTTGTTGTCTGGTTTCTAGTGGGTTAATGATATTGAGAAGGACTCCATGTATCGACACTGGCCCTCAAGTCTACAGGAGCTCCTCAGAGCAACATTTCCTGGTGTTATTCGACAAATCCGCCGTAATTTCTTTAACCTGGTGAGTCAACTTGCCTGTGAGTTGATTATAGCCTTAGCTCAAATCTAGCTGTGTGCACAGGTTTATGCAGGGATGCTTTTTATTTTCTGATATCCCCCATTTTTAGGGCGGCAGCAGTCTTATCTTTTTAAATAATGTTTATTAAATTTTATTTAAAATTACAGGTTTTTTTAAAAAAAAAAAAGTACTTTAGATATTTTTAGATCATTTAAAAGATGTTTTTCTTTGCTGTTGGCAGGTTCTGTTACTTGACCCAACACAAGAAGAGAGCATTGAGCTGGTCAAATTAGCAGAACTCTTTTACAAACATAACATTCCCCTCAGGTATGTGTGCTCAACAATAGCATTTAATACATTTTACCTGAGTCTTAATATATATATTTTTTGATCTGGCTTTCTGAACTATGTGATTCTGATATAATGAACTGTATAATGGACCATTGTCACAGACAAGTCTTTACATAGCTCTGCAAGTATCATATTACTTCATGGTTTCTTACTTATCAAATACAATTTAAACTCAAATCAATATTTTATGTTAATTTTTATTTGGTAAGTAACTGTTTAATAAGCAGCTGACAATATACATATTTAACATTCAGCAAACATTTGTTTGTTGATATGTTCATTGTAAATAAGTGTGGATGTCAGATTTAATATCTATTTATGTTTCTATGTCTTTTAGGATTGGGTTTCTACTGGTTGTCAGTTTAGATGATAAAGTGGATGGATATTTGGATGCAGGTGTTGCTCTCTTTAGGCTGTTAAACTACATCTCAGAGGAGTATGACGAAGCACAGGCTTTCACGTCCATGGTGTCAGTGAGTATCTTTGTGTTTGCTGTAGTGCTCTTTTAAATCAAAATGACTTAAATGCTACTTTTAGGGTTCTCCTTCACTTTAAGTATAATATTTGAAAGCTATTTGAATATTTTGTCCATATCATGAACTATAACAGATATATTCAGTTATAACGTGCAGGTTTTTTTTTTTTTTTTTTTTTTTTTTTTTTCAAGATGTATGTTTTACGAATGAGAAAGGAAGGATACCCAGAGACTTAAGAGTGTTCTCCTTCCAAGACTGAATCACAGTGGTATGTGAATGTAATGCACTATTTAGTATTATTATATACTAGTGAGCTTTTTTTTGTCACATGCAGATATATAACAGGGTGGAGGTTGGAGAGACTCTTTCTGTGGATACAATAACTGCATATCTGAAAAAGAAATTTCCAAAAGCAAACGCTGCCAGAATTATTGGAGTGGACTCAAGCTATGATGACAACAGAAAGGTAATGCAAATAGTGTTATGTTAACTTCTCCATAACAAAGATGGGAGGTACAATTACAGTTTGTACTTTTTTTGTTAAAATGTGCCAGTTTAATTAGCAGAGTATTATATTCTAAATAATTACATTGCACATTGCATTTTTTTGTCCTTTAAAATAAAAAAGAAGGAAAATCACAGATGCTTTTATAGCATTGGTATATATAAACTGCTATTGAATATTCCTAGGCACATATGGGCAGAGACTTTATTTTGAAAAGCCAGATGTATCTGTCTTTATGAACTTTTTTTTTTTTTTCAGGCTGGAGGAGTGTTTTACAGGAAGAGTGGATTAGGAGCCCTACCAGTGTGTTTGTTCAATGGTGTTCCACTCAGTAGTGAGGAGATGGACCCCGAGGAGCTCGAGACTGTTCTGCTGCAGAAGATCATGGAAACTACCAACTTCTTCCAGAGATCTGTCTTTATGGTGTGGTATTATTTTCCTTGCCAACTATTACCTTTAAGGCTTTTCTTTAATTTGATTGTTTTTAAATCTGTCACAAAGGCAGTGCAGGCCCTCCTGACTGTGCATGTGTCTGTAATCTGATTAGTTGGCTAATTCTAAGGAGATTACTGTCATATACAGGGTCAAATCACTGAGAGTGGTGATGTGGTGGACTTCCTGATGGAGCAGGCCAATGTAGTTCCCCGTATCAACCCATTGATTCTTAGCTCTGAGAGACGATATCTGGATTTCACTTCCTCACCAGGTAGCCCTTTAATGATCACCTGACCCAAACCAGGGCCATTGTTAATCTTAGTCACCTCACCATCATCACTGTCACAATCACACTGCAATCTCCATCTCAATAATATTGTCACAATACTATCATTATTTCATTACCAATATCTTCTCAATGTTGCTTATTAACTGCCTTAATTGTTTTAATTAAACACATAGTTGCAGACGACTGGGATGACACAACTATGTTCGCATACTTGGACTCTAGAGACAAAACGGCAGTTGTTTCTAAGAGAATGAAGTATTTAACCAGAGATGGTAAGAGAATGAAGTATTTAACCATATCTTTTTCATATAGATTGGTAGGGGTGGTTTTATCATTTATAATGTGTTTTTTAAATGTCATTTTATAATGGATTTTCATTCAGATTGCTTTATTTTATAAAATAGACTATGAGTGGCCATTAGTGAAGTGTTTGACAATGCACTGCCAGTATTGCTACTATTATTAACATCGCGTGTTGGTTTAATAAATGGTACTTTCAATAATGTAAAGCACATTACAAGTACACTTCTTAGCTTAAAAATTATCCAAACTGTGTTTTCCTAAAAAGCACTATTCTTAATTCGCACTTTTTTTCTCTCATAGAGGAGGAGATGTTGTACGGAGTGACTATGTGGATTGTAGCAGATATTGAACAGCCCTCTGGGAGGAAATTGCTCTGGAATGCCTTGAAACATATGGTGAACTACTGCAGTTTTTATTTCCAATTAGTTGTATTCACAGGAATCGCATCTTCAGAGAGCGGAGGCACACGTGCATCTTAGAAATGAATCTGAGGGCAATTCATCTTTGAAATCATTCTTGTGGTCTTGGTTAATTAACAAAATCCAGTGGTAACAGACCATATATATAGGCTGGCCACAATAAAGGCCATTCTAAAATGTGCAGTTTTACTGTATTGGGGATCCGGTGGGATCCACCCTGAAGAAAAAAAAAAAAGGTTGTTGATTGTGGCCTGTTGGTCCACAGCTGGTCAATGGCTGTGCGAAGTTGCTGAATATTAGCAGGACCGGGAACACGCTGTTGTATACGCCGATCTAGAGCATCCCAAACATGCTCAATTGGTGACATTTCCGGTGTGTATGCTGGCCATGCAAGAACTGGGATGTTTTTAGCTTCCAGGAATTGTGTACAGATCCTTGCAACATGGGGCCGTGCATTATCATGCTGCAACATGAGGTGATGGTCATGGATGAATGGCACAACAATGGGCCTGAGGATCTTGTCACTGTATCTTTGTGCATTCAAAATGCCATCAGTAAAATGCACATTTGTTTGTCAATAACATATGCCTGCCCATCCCATAAACCCCCACCGCCACCATGGCCCACTCGATCCACAACGTTGACATCAGCAAACTGCTCCCCCACATGGCACCATGAGTTCAGCTCTTGAAAAATTATAATTTTGTTCAGTGTTTTGGGGATAAAGGAGAGCAAGCTGAAGGCAGAACATTATTAACACGGTATTTATATTTGACCGAAATCTAATCTCAGAATAATCTGAGAAAATAATTGCTTAGTACAATGCAGATTACATATGTTATCACTGTATTGATCTAATTTATCTCTCAAATCATTCTTTGAGTTCACAAATCTGTTTTTATGTTTTATATAGCTGAATAATATAATAACATACTAGTAACGTTAAAGGTTGTATAAGGGATTTCAGGCCCAAAAAAGCCCCAAACATAAATGATCATATTCATCGAATCTTTCCTAACGATCTGCTTGCTGCCCGCCCCATAAGCAGGCCGTAAAAAAAAACATGTCTCTGTTAGTAGTTTGAGCCTAGGCTGCCTGCAGAACCGTGTTTTTTTGACTGCTTGCTTATGGGGTGGGCAGCTAGCGGATCATTAGGAAAGATTAGATGAATGTGATCATTTATTTTTGGGCCTGAGATCGCTGATACAACCTTTAAGAATATCATAAATCTTACTCCTCAAATCTGTGTATGAGAATTATTGCTTTATTTTATTTAGTAATCTGACCCAGTTCCTTTACAGAGTTCAGAATGATATAATGTGATTTGCTATCATCTTGTTTGCTATAATCTCCTTTTCAAGAGAGTTTCTGATCCACAGTGTTTGTTTGCAGAAATCCAGCAGCTCCAACTGTCGTGTTGGGGTGATCAATAACCCCATTGGAAAGCCCACAGAGGACAACAGCGGTCTGTACCGAGCCCTCTGGGCTTCTCTCCTCACCCAAAGCAACAAGAACACGCTCGACTTCACCCTAAAACTCCTCAAAGAAGAAAATGTTGAGGTCTTCAAACAAGGCACCAAGATTAAGCACTTACTTAATCAGGTCAGTGGAGTGTGAAATACTGTGTCTGGGTAATGGGGGAATAATGTGTAGAGTTGGATTTATCTTTACAGACCTGTTCTTTTCTCGCCTGTCTGTCTTTTTTTATGTCACTTGAGTTCAGTTGGCAGACAATGGCCAACTGAAGTATTTCACACTTTTTGCAACTAAATTCTGTTGTCAATTCACCTTTTAGTGCTTAATCCTGTTCTGGACATACACAGTTCAGAAATTTACACTTGCAGTCTACCCACTACCATCTAGATCTTATCTCTATTAACGCACCTGACATTAAATGCTGCTTTTATTGTTTCCTCCTGTCATTACTATGATAAAATTGTACAAGCAAGGCCTCTCTTCTTTTCCTTGGTGTCTTTACCCCATTGCCACATCCAATGGAAACCACTCAACCACATGTCATTTTCTCAGACTTAGACAACTGCATTTCTGGGAATGGCTGCCCTATACCTTGTATAACCAGAGTATTGCAATTCTCAGAAAGATTGATTGGTCTGTCTAGCACATAGAGAGATTTTTTCACTGTCTCTATCCCTCCTGCTCCCTCTATTTATTTCTATTGTAACGTATTAGATAAGAGAAAGTGTTCCATCCTACCCTGTATTCCTGAGTTTTTTTGGTTGAAAATGATTGGAGAGAGTGTTTTTTGGTTCCCTGAGAGCTTGTGCCTGAGACCTGTAATTGCTCTATTATTGGATGGAAAGGAGAGGTGTTGTGCTGATATTAGCATTTCCTAGCTTTTCGTAATAAGGTCCAAATGATTGAAACACTAATAATCAGACTCCATGCAGCTGAAACACCCGAGATTTGTTATCGGCACTGAAGCCATTTTTTAATTACATGTCGGATAAATGAAAATGTTTAGTGATTTATTCGTTAGACACGGTCTCCAATGGCAGCACATTTTTCATTGGTCTAGCCAATTTAATATTCCTCTCAAAATACTCTAATGACTGCACTTGCACAAATGTGCCACCCTTCGTTATCAATAACACATTGATTAACTATTTCCTCCTTGCAGTGTAATCAAAAATACAAACTAATGAGCCAATCAATTTGTTATTTCCCAATTTTCTACTTCACTTAGTTAAAAAAAGTATCGTAAGTAAATAATTTTTTATGAAAAGAATAATTCCTTATTATGTGAATGAAGATTCGCTCTCACTCTCTCACACACACACACACACACACACGTGTGTTACGAATTTTTTCTTAAATATATTAGAATTCTTTCTGAAGGGTCATGTGAGACTGGAATAATAACTGCTGAAAATGATACCTTTTTCCACAGTAATAAATATGTATGTCCCCTTTTCCAAGTATTTAAGTGTTAAATGTGTTTTATCTCCTGTAGGGTATGGACCATGATGCGTTTGAGAAGATGTTCAACACAATGGAGGTGGACTTCCTGCACAGCCAGCAGAAGTACTGTAAGGAAGTTCTGAAGCTGAAAGCTGGACAAGGAGCTGTGGTCAGCAACGGCAGGGTGAGACTCACAAACACCCCCTCCACCTTTACACCCCTCAAGACAAATTCCATAGGCATTATGAAATAATTTATATCCTAATGACTTACAGTACGGACTGCTGATTTGGATGATAAATAGTCTGAACCGTAAGGTCTCACCAGTTGGTCTCTCTGATGGGGACGTTTTTTTGTTGACTCAGTATTAAGCCGTTTGCTTGGCCTGTCCTAACCTGTGAGGAGAGGTAGAGAGAGATGAAGCCTGGCATTAATTCACCAGCGTCCACTCAGCAACCTCTGCTGCAGGGGTCATGGGTTATATGGAACCGCCGAACTGTCATATTGCTGTGCTTTCTCAACAGTCTTTGTTGACAGACGAGCACAGAATGGGCCACAGCCCGAAACAGCAGTGACACATCCCATCATTCTCCAACACACCGAAGTGATCTCCAGAATTTATTTTTGTCTTGAAAGAATTATGGTTTTATAATTTCTGCTCTTTTCTTCCCTTTGGCTTTATAAGATAACATGTGTATTATAAAACAAGAATAATATATATGTAGAATTCATGTGCAAAAATCAGAAGGGTGCACACCAATATCTGGCCCCCACAGTCACCAGATCTCAACCCAATAGAGCATCTTTGGGATGTGGTGGTACGGGAGCTTCATGCCCTGGATGTGAATCCCACAAATCTTCATCAACTGCAAGATGCTATCCTATCAATATGGGCCAACATCCCTAAAGAATGCTTTCAGCACCTTGTTGAATCAATGCCACGTAGAATTAAGGCAGATCTGAAGGTGAAAGGGGGTCAAACACCGTATTAATATTATTTTTAAATTTGGCTGCAAAGTCATTGAATGTATATGTTCACCTTTATTCATATTTCTTTATATAAAACAATATATTACAGTAGTGTTTTATAAATAATATTTTATGCATAAATATATTCTCATTAGATTTGATGATAAAATTATGTATTTATATTTGCTTTTAACAATAATTATTTATAATTCATTTATTTTAGCTGGAGCTTAATTGGCTTCAAAGTGCAAAAGGGTAAATCTAACTCTGAAAAATGACATTCTCTGCTAGCCAAAATGAAAAATGAAATGATGCAAAACAAAATTAGCAAGAAATGTAAAACTGGTTAAAATCCAGATTTTAAAAAAGTGGTTGGTAAAAAATCAAGGGTAAAAACACATAAAAACTTTCAGGGTAAAAACACATTGATATTAAAAGCCACAATGACAGCCTGGCAGTCAGCCTTGCTTTGATTAGCTTAAAAAAGGGTTTGACATTGGCATTCATATAAATGACTGTCTCTCTCATATGGATATCATAAGGTTCATAAAGGTTCTGGGTGTAGAAGTTTGAGCTAGCACACATGAACTGACACTTTGGAGTCGTGGTTTGTAACTAACACAATTGTAACTAACAATGTGGTTAACGTCTTCACTAGATCCTGGGCCTATTGGATGAAGAAGACTTCAGTTTGGAAGATTTTCATCTGATAGAGAAGATCACACTGCGAAGTTCAGCAGAAAAGATTAAATCCAAGATCAAGCAGATGAACTTGAATGCCCAGAAGTACGCCCTGTTTTGGTTTGTCGTTCTAAGCCGATATGTCTGTAAATGTAAAATGATTTGTTTGTGAGGGGAAACCAGAATCTTGTTATTTCTCTTCAAAGGGCCAGTGATCTAATCATGAAAGTAGATGCTCTTCTCACTGCATCACCTAAAGGAGAGTCCAGAAAAGACGTCAAATTTCTGAAGGACAAACACAGGTGCAGTACTGCTAATGCTAAAGATTTTCTTTACATTGTTTTGATCGAGTTGATGTACATTTTTGAAAAACAATATATACATTGCCCCAGACCCTCTTGCTGCTTTTCTGACTGCAAACCATAGAAAATAATAATACATTGCATAAATAAGCTGTATATAAGTATCTCAGTAATGGTGGTGTCGGTTATTGTACCTTTGAGTATTTTTATTTTTTTATTTTTTTTCAATGAATCATTCTAACATGAATGGGTCTAAAATGAAATGGCAGCTTGTCTGTCCAAATTGTTCTGACAACTCACTGCAGATCCAAACATCCCACCCATTCTCATTAATGCAACACTTATTTTCACAACCAATTGTCAAGTTGACCAGATGTGTCTTTTTAACAGCGTTCTTCAACTGGCACAGCGTGAAGATGAGGTGTTCTATGACGTGGTTGCCATTGTGGATCCTCTCACCAGGGATGCACAGAAGCTGGCTCCTTTATTATCTGTACGTATAATATTGGTCACATCTAAGAGATTAGTGTACCTCAGGCATGTGTGTCCTTACATACTACTACTACTACTACTACTACACAAGTCTCAGGCCTTCCTCTCCCTTACTCTATCTCCTCAGACTCACGTTTCGCATATTCGGCACATTCTGGGAAGTGGTGCGCAGTGGTTACACTTACAGTGGTGAAATTACAAACAAGAAATATACATAATGAACATAACACATGATAAAATGAATAACTGGGGATTTTATTAACATTTATTAACACAATTTTGGATAGGCTCTGCACCTCTTCTGACACTGGAAATCTGTTATTTCCAATGATTAGTTCCTGGCATGAAAATGGAAATCTGCCCCTAGAATGCCCGTTGTGCAATCTATCTTTTATTCCACTAAATCTCAAATTTGTTCAATGGGATTCAAGTCTGGACTTTGACTTGGCCAACTGTGACTAAAGAGCTTATTCATACTGGTGGATTAACCATTACAGAAGCATAAAAAAAAATGATTTTGGTAATCCAAAATTTTGCTGTCACCATGCTCTACTCTAAATGCACAGGAATCTTTTCATGTAAACCCTCGTAATGGTTTCAGTATTTTTCTATGGTCTCTGAATCTTTAAAGAGTGTTTTTATATACAAAACCATGGCATCACATCCTCTAAGGTCGTAAAGAACTTGAAACGTGCTCATTTCTATGCGGTTCTGTGGAGCGTGACCTTAAGCATTCCCTCCTGAATCCTGTTGTTGTTTGTGGGTAATAACCTGGCTGTCTCCTCTGTGTGTGCTGCAGGTGCTTGGTCAAGTGGTCAATATGAAAGTGCAGGTGTTCATGAACTGTCGAGCCAAGCTGTCTGAGATGCCCCTGAAGAGGTGTGAGCAAAAGCTTAATTAAACTTCATCTTTGAGAGTGTTGGGACACACACACACAAACTCATACTCGTACAACAGCCTAGTGCAGTTCTGCAGATATCACCTTGTTTTGTTTTTCCTCTCTTTTTTTTTAACAGAGTTTTATTGTTAAAAATGTCAGGATGTTGGAAAAAAATACGCTTTATATATTGGCAGAGATGGGTGCAGTAATGTAAATAATAGTCAATGACATTAAATTTGATAGCCTATACTTCAAAATCAGCACGTACATTCCAGGATCTGTTTTATTTTATTTATTTATTTTTTCTCTTTAGTAGTATATAAAATATTTTTATTTTCAAACGTTTTTTGATTTTAATTCAGAATTAAAGGTATTTAAATATTTAGTTATAGGATTCCTTGCTATTTCCACCTTAAAATGGGAAATTACAACATACCACCAGTTTATTTTACAAGTGATGTATTTAACTTTTTATTTTATTTTCTGCCAGCTTTTATCAATATGTTTTGGAGCCAGATGTTTCCTTCTTTGGTAACAACTCCATTTCCCCCGGCCCTATGGCTCGATTTACGGAAATCCCAGAATCCCCTCTGCTTACTCTTAATATGATCACCCCCGAGAGCTGGATGGTAGAGGCGGTCAGGAGCCCATATGATCTAGACAACATCCACTTACAGGAGGTATGAGTGCTAACTCTGAGTTCAGTATTTATATATTTACCAAAGCTGATTTGTGCACTTGATCAGTTTTTTTCAGTATTTCATACAGCACAATAGCCACAGTAGTGCTTTGAAATGTTCACATTTTTATGATACATACATAGCATTTGCTACACCAAGTATTTTGTTCGTTCATGTTTCTCTAACAAACTTTGTTACTTTTAACAGGTTGCGTTGTCATGCTCAGCCAGGTCTCTCTGCAAAGAGATGTTTAGCAGAATAAATGAGGTTTCTCTTACTGTATGTTTGTCAGGTCAGCGGTGTAGTGAATGCTGAGTATGAGCTTGAGTATCTACTGTTGGAGGGCCACTGTTTTGACCTGTCCACAGGTCAGCCTCCCCGAGGACTTCAGTTTACACTGGGCATGAGACAGAAACCTCTCATGCATGACACCATCGTCATGGCCAACCTGGTGAGTTTGTCCCTCTTCTTTGCTTTGTCCAAATATATATTGTATTTTTTATATTTAAATCTCTTAAATGAATTGTCCTGGTATGCTAAGTGTTATATGGACCCCAAATGAGAATTATTTTTATTATTTACTCACCCTCATGTCATTCCAATCCTGCATGACTTCCTTTCTTTTGTGGAACGCTAAAGCAAAAATTAACCCACTGCGCTGTACAGGGCTATTTCCAGTTGAAGGCCAACCCCGGCGCATGGATCCTGAGGCTGCGCGAGGGCCGCTCAGAGGACATCTATCAAATACAGGCGTGAGTGTTTTCACTTCACAGATTTACATTTACATATTTACATTTACATTTAGTCATTTAGCAGACGTTTTTATCCAAAGCAACTTACATCTGAGGACTAAATCAAACAAATCATCGTGAAGAGGCAATAGCAACACAAGAAGTGCTCAAAATACAAAGTTTAAACATTGCTCAGAGTAGTATAAACCAGACAAGTAAGGATTGAAGGTTTACAAATAACAAAGAAACCTACATATATATATATTTAGGTTTCTTTGTTATACAGTTTAAAAGAACAGCATTTATTTGAAATAGCTTTTTAAAAATAGTATAAATGTCTTTACTTTCACTTTTCATCAAGTTAATGCATCATTGCTGAATAAAGGTATTAATTTCATTCTTTTTTTTTTTTTTTTAAATGGACCCCAAACCTTTGAATGGTAGTAGTGTACACTTCGATGTTTCCAAGATGATGTAAAATTATTTCAAGCTATGAATTTTAACGGATTTGTTAGCAATATGCTGCACCAGGAGTACAGACGCTATCCAAAAAAAAAAAAATGGCTAAAAGGAACAGCCACATTCAAATTAATGGTAGAGATCAAACTCTCCAAAATGTTTGTCCTCAATTTCAATTTTAATTTTTCTTTTCCAGGTGCATGTTTTATGCATATATTGTGCCTATTTTAGTTAGTTTTATTTTTAGTTTAGAAACAGCTGTGGTTTCTTATATAATTATGGGAGACAGTATAATATATACCCCATTCATGCAGGTTAAAGTTAGATTGTAATGTAATTTTTCACACTGCTAGTGCAATTATTCTTACAGTCTGGGGTCTGACACACAAAGAAACGAGGAAAAGAAAAAGAGTTTGTGTGTGAGAGAAAAGAAGTATCACACACACACACACACACACACACTGCTGACTGCTAAATGAATGGGAAAGCAGTGTTCCTTCAGTGTGTAATTCATTGATATCCTGCTCTGAGAAATTGCAGCCTAGTGGATCCAGGCTTTCATTTTGGATGCTGAAGCTAACAGCACTCTGTGTCCCGTATCACTGGACATTTGTCATGCTATTAATGTCATTACAACTTCCTACTGGAGGAATTTGATAAAAGGAACACTCAAAATAATTTCAGTATTGAATTTTGAGAAATTGGTGAGAAATATTAGTCATTGATTGCAAGACAGTTCTCTGCTGGTATTCCTCAAGTGTTCTACATTTCTACTTGTACTTCATCTTCTTTATTGTTTTCTTATCCTTATTGTTGTTCTTCTTGTCCCTCTTCCTTCTTGTCCTCTTCCTTCATGATCGTGTTCTCAGTTCTCTTTAATTTCTTCTTCTTCCTCTTTCATCCTCCTTGTTGTCTATGGCAGCCCATAGAACCGTATGGTTACAAGTTGTGAAATTCGACACAGATAAAGGACAGTCTGAAAATTAACCATAGTGTTTTGGTGTCTCTAACTCAATCCCTCTTGCGCCACCAACTGTCCAATGTTTCATTTCAATTTCCGATATTAAAATTTTTACTCCATTTTGAATTTCTCATCCTAGCCCTTTGATCCGAATTCCTCTCGCATCATCTCCAGACCATGCTGGCAAAAAAAGTTAGAAGATGTGTGATAAATCAAACCATTCTCAAATAACACTCAAACAAATTCAACAAAGTGTACATCAAAATGGATGTATGGCTATATCTACGAAACGCATTAGTGTATTCAGACCAAACATGGAAAATGTCATCACAAGCATGACCTGATGCTACATGCAGTATTTCATTACACTGCTAGGAGATATAAGGCTATAAAAAGATAAAAAGGCTATTTTTGGTTATAACTTCTGAATGGATTACCCAAAAATCATAAAACACTCAATTCAGCGCAGCATACCAAGTCCCTAATGATACCCAATTTTCTCAAATTGGCCATTATAGGCTTCAGTCAATTAGATTTTTCTCATAATTGGCTGAATTTTTTTGTTATGGAAAATGTAATGGCTAAAATGTATTGTTTTACGAAACTTGGTTTGTGTCATCAGGACCATGCCACCATGCCAATTATGACTAAAATAATGCAACTACTCATTGTTACAGTTGGTCTGATGCTCTCAGCCATGCTTGCATAACTCTTTATGCCTTTTTTTTTTGTTGCTGCTTGCTATTGTTTTGTCCTTGGTATTGTTGGTGTTCTAGTCCTTCAGTTTATCTTGTTCTTGTTGTTCTTTTGCTTATCTTGTCTTTGTTGTGGTTCTTATTTCATCCTCTTTTTCTTGTCTTGTTTGTCTTGCTTATCAAATTTTCCCCATTGCAAACATTCCCCATTTATCTTGTTGTTGTTCTTCATCATTATATTCTGTGATTTAATTCAACTCAAACTGCAAAACCTATGGACTCTATTCACACTTTTTGTTGATAAAGTAAGGCTCATAGATATATTGTTAAAGGTCCTTAACTTTTTAACGAACTTAATTTGCTGTGTTGTGAGCACTGTATTTCTTTCAGAGAGTGGAGAAATAGTGTTTATATAATGTTGTGTATGTTTTAGGCACGATGGAACGGACTCTCCTGCCGATGCTGGTGATGTCATTGTGGTGCTCAACAGCTTCCACAGCAAGATCATAAAAGTTAGAGTAAGTGTTGAGATGTTACAGTAGTATTTGCAATGTATTAACAAGCATTCACAGACTGTTCCTCCATATAAAATATCAGCTAAAGGGACTAATGAAAAAGTAATATCTGTTCTAATATTAGGTCCAGAAAAAGGCTGACAAACTCAATGAGGATCTTTTAAGTGAAGAAACCGAATCAAAAGGCATTTGGGACTCAATAACCAGGTGAGTCTGATTTTTGAAGCACTAATCACCTTTTGGATCACATGTTTAAAATCCAGTTGGAAGTCACACAAATAAAACGTCCCCAGCAAGATCTTTGTGTATGGCTATACCTGCTATAGAATGTGTGACTGCAGATTTGTCCAACGTCCATCATCAATTGTCTATAAACATAAACAAGTATGTTTCTTTGTTGATAAATATTTTTTTGGCTAATTTCACTCTAAAAACTGCTGGGTTGCTTTTAACCCAAATTTAGGTCAAATATGGACAGACCCAGCCTTTGGGTTAAAAAGAATAATTTAAACTTTTAACCCAATGGCTGGGTTTGTCCATATTTGACCCAAATTTAGGTCGAAACAACACAGAATATTTTAGATTGTTGGTAACAGACACATTCGTCAAATGCACTTTGCAAAATTCTCCACAATCAGTGTGGGGAAAAAAGGGTAGATCCTGTGTTGGCCTGCCTGTGAATATTTAATACACACATCATAATTACAAAAGTTTGGGGTTGGTAACATTTTTAAATGTTACTTTCTCATATTATCTAGGCTGCATTTATTTGATTAAAAATACACGAAAAAATAGTAATACTGTGAAATATTATTACAAGTTAAAATAACTGTTTTCTATTTGAACATATTTTAAAATGTTCTTTATTCCTGTGATTGGAAAGTGATGCAAATAACTCATTACCTCTGTTTTCAGTGTCACATGTTCCTTCTGATATGCTGATTTGTTGTTCTTATTAATATCAATGTTGAAAACGGTTGTGCTGCATAATACTGTTGTGGAAACTGATGGATTTAATGTGGGGATCTAACATTTATTTGAAATGGAAATCTTTTGTAACATTATAAATTTCTTTGCTGTCACTTATGCCCAATTTAATGTGCCATTGATGAATAAAAATATTCATTTCTTAAATTGTACCTACCCCAAACTTTTGAATGAATATTTGTTTAGGGCGTTTGTATTTGAACTTACTGCTCTGTTGATGATATTTTATTTTATTTTTTTTTAAATGATCTGTCTCCTTTGCTCATTGCTGTCTTTGTGAAGTGTGTGGAGTTCTTTGGAGAAAAGGTAGGGAACTTAATCTCTACTTGTTTTTTACTCTTTATCTAAATTTTTCTTTCGTCAGTATTAAGCGACACAGCAGAATTTCAGTTTGTAAGCGGTGATCTATCTTTTTCTTTGAGTTTCATTGAACTTAATTTTCACATACATCGTTCTCCACATTTAGAAATAGTTTTCCTGGCTTTTTTGAAATTCCACCTTCAGCAGTGTTACATCACCTCCACTCCTCTTGATTTAACAAACATTGCCTCACTTTTTTTTTTTTTGGAAGTATGTGGCTTGGAAACGGGGACTGAAATGTTCAAATGGTTCCTATGGCTTGATTTTTATTTTTTTTAAATCCTCCAATGTGAATATCTATGCAGAGGCAGCAGTATGTGAGATCTTGGCTAGGGAGGTTGTTGAAAGCTACAGATGGCACTTGTTTTATTTTGTGGCAATGATGGAAATCTAGATCTTCAGGAATATCTGAACCTCATGATCAGAACATACATGTGAGTTGCTTAAAAGATCAGCAAACTGTTTATTAAATCTGTATTCTTTCATCATTAACTTTTACAGAATAACTTGTGCTGTCTCAAACTTGTAGGCTGAACCAACAGAATTTAGTGCTGCTGAGATAAGATCTAGCATCATTTGCTTGGTATTTTGTTGCCTAATTCAGTGACATTCATACAGTAAATGGGATTTTACAATCAATAAGATTACCTTTTTTATTTATTTTAACTTAGCATGTTCTATTTGTCAATTTGATGGATCAAGATAATAACAGCATTTTTTTTTCTTTTTTTCTTTTTCTTTTTTTGCAATATCCACAACTCTGCCATGTCCATGTTTACCAGTGGACTGTCAATAAATTTCAGTTGTTAGTGTTTTCACTTTGACAATAAATACATAATGTTAGAAAAAAAAAAATCAATTTTAAATAAATTACTATTATCCAGAGAATCCTGAAAAAAAATATCAGTTAACACAAAATATTAAGCAGCACATTTTTTTAACATTGATAATAATGTTTCCTGAGCACCAAATCAGCTTATTATAATGATTTCTGAAGGATTGTGTGACACCAAAGACTGGATTAATGTCTGCTGAAAATTCAGCTTTGCCATAACAGGAGTAAATTATATAGTAAAACTTTAGTGAATTTGTAATTTTTTAACAAATCACTTAATGTAGACTTCGATGACTTGGATTTTGGATGTCTTGCAGCTTTGCTGGTGGACCAAGTGTGGATGATGGCGATAAGAAGAAAGACGTTCTCAACATTTTCTCAGTGGCCTCTGGACATTTGTATGAGCGCTTCCTGAGGTAGGATCACCACTTGTATGAACGCAACCACATCAGTGTTGTATTTAGCTTCTCATGTTTCTTCTGCTTCCCCTTTTTCCCTTTATAGAATAATGATGCTGTCTGTCATTCAACACACATCAACCCCTGTTAAGTTCTGGTTCCTCAAAAACTACCTTTCCCCCTCATTTAAGGTAAGACTGCTACCATTCTCAGCTTGCTTTCGCCTGGCCGTTCACTGACTGACTGATCCATTTTGTGCACCATAAATAGCAAGAGCTCAGTAGAGGCTCAAATTACTATTTATGGTCTGATTGGCTGAATACTAGGTTATTTGTTAAAGCCAGGGTGCACAGGTTTATATATATATAAGGCCTCATATTTTTTGTCTGTCAATTCCATTGCAAACATTTCTGAGGAATACCTAGTTGCTGGTTTGACCAACTTTATAAACGTTATAGCATAGTTTTGGCATCAGATCAATTTTTTTTTTATTTTGTTACATTTTATAAGATATAAAAATGTTGTGTGTGCTGCTTTGATCTTACAGTGAGGTCAGATTTCAGATTTATTTATACATTTTTGTGCTGGTTTGTAGGGCCAATTTGGCTAAAATTTAAATAAATAAAATAAAGAAAATTGTTATTATATAATAATGATAATAATCGTTTACTTTATAGTATAACTGTATAATACAATATAATTTTTTTTTTCAAATGTTAAATAATGAGCAGAGCAGAAGCCTATTTAATACATGCTCCGACATAATTCATTAAATTAATGGTTTGTCCTAATCTTAACCAAAGAAAATGAGAACAAATTATCAACAAATACATACCTCTATAGTGTATCCTCCTCTATGGTTTATCTTTCATGTTTATGTGTACAGGACACAATCTCACACATGGCGAAAGCATATGGTTTCCAGTATGAGCTGGTCCAGTATAAGTGGCCACGCTGGCTTCACCAGCAGACAGAAAAGCAGCGAATTATCTGGGGTTATAAGATCCTCTTCCTGGATGTGCTTTTTCCCCTGGCCGTGGACAAGATCATCTTTGTTGATGCTGATCAGGTGACTTTACACATGTGAAAAATAACAGTGGTTAATCTGAGTGGAATACTGGGCGCCTGCATATTTGTAAAAATAGCATGTGAAAATTACTGTTGCATTTTTTTATCCTATTTTATTTTAAATGTTTAGTTCACTCAAAAAATGTAATTCTTTCATCATTAACATATCCTTGTGTCGTTCCAAACCCTCAAGACTTTTTTTCTTGCACTTCAAATCATCAAGTTGAACTTCTGTATTTGATGTGACTTAGGGACTTAAAAATTGAAACTGTTCATCTTATGAAAGGGATCATGTCTCTCGAAAGACTTCGATTAAACCGTTCATATGTTTATACATTTACAATGTATTTATGAATGCGTCAAAAAGTTTTGGAGAAATTAACTTTCAATACAGTAGGAGAACCGAAATATGTTTGATTTCATTAAAAAAAGGATTCATTTGTGTTTTAAAGATGAACGAAAGTCTTATGGTTTAGAATGACGTGGATGAGTAAATAATAATCTTCATTTTTGGGTGAATTTTCACTTTAAAACATCTTGACTCTTGGCAGTCTATTATATATAATATATACTTGCATAATAAAAAATATTTCAAATCATGGCTCATTACTTCCAGTTCATCCATTGCACTTGAATAGCAAATTGAGCATTGCGTTGTGAGATACGATATTCTGTTGTATACTACACATTTTGACAGATTGAGTAGTAAAAAAGTGGTACTATGTTAACGCATAGTAATATGCATCAATTTCCAGCCTGTCAATCTGATTAAACGATGCGTCTTACAGTTTGGCATTTTGTACGTAACACCAGCCAAAAGAATTCACAGGCCAACAATTCATTGTTAGCGCATTAGCAAATAGTGATATCTTCTAATTGCAAAACATGACCCTGTGAATGCTTTATATTTAGATTGTCAGGGCAGATTTGAAGGAGCTGAGAGATCTGGATCTAGAGGGCGCCCCGTACGGCTACACGCCATTCTGCGACAGCCGGAAAGAAATGGAAGGCTACCGTTTTTGGAAGACTGGCTACTGGGCCTCCCATCTTGGACACCGGAGATACCATATCAGGTTAGATATCACATTACTGTACAATGAAAATAGAGAATATTACTTTCATCTTCAAAATTCTAGATAAATTATAGAATGTAACATTTTAAAATCTAGTATTGAAAGAATATCTAATATTATGAGAGATCTTATATTCAATAAATGTGGCCCTTAGTGCATTATATGTGGTGGACTTGAAGAAATTCAGAAAGATTGCAGCTGGAGACCGGCTCAGAGGGCAGTACCAAGCCTTGAGCCAAGATCCCAACAGCCTGTCCAACCTGGACCAGGTATTAGCTCGACATCGCTCAACAGCCATATGTTCACAAATAGTGAACATGACACATGACTTTCATGTGATTTGAATGTTTCTCTTTGGGGTTTGATACTAACAGGACCTTCCCAACAACATGATCCATCAAGTAGCCATCAAATCCTTACCTCAGGAGTGGATGTGGTGCGAGACCTGGTGTGATGACAATTCCAAAGCTACAGCCAAGACCATAGATCTGGTTAGTATGCTTTTACACCACACTTATAGCAATCTTATAGCACTGGCAACATGCTACAGCTAAACAAGAATGGGAGACACATTTGGTAGGTGAGGAGAGTAAATAAAAAACTACGTCAACTACTGACATGGGCATGTAAGTAAATCCAGGAAGCTTTAGCATGGTATGTATAAGGAAACCAAAATAGGAAGAGTTTATATAGCTATTTTAAATGTGAAGTCGCTGTCATATTGCCGACATTTTGTGGGCAAAATATCAAGAACTCAAGCAGATGGTCAATGTGGTGAATTGACATGACCAACCTGAACACAAGCTCAAACTGCATGAGGAACTTGTTCACCCTCATGTAAAACTGCGAAACATTTGCACATTTTCCTATTTAAATGGGTATCGCCTGCGAACACCAGTAAGTGTGAATGCACCTTGACTGAGATTTAATGATGAGTTTGCATGGGTTTTATATACATGTAACAATTCTACATGTAAAAAAAATGTAATAGTAAATGTTGGAATTAACTAAGATTAATAAATGCTATAGAAGTATTGTACATTGTTAAATCACAATAATGAATACAAATAATATAGATGACTAATGTTACCAAACATTTCCAGACCTTATTGTAAAGTGTTACCAATATACATTATAGAGTTTAGATATTTTATATATTCCAGGCAGCTGCTATAATTTTAGTAATAATTATCAAATTACTTTGAAATGCATTGCATTGAAAACGATATGCGAGATGATATCAGGTTGTGTGATGCCTGCAGTCTGATCATACCCAGATTTCTTCATTCACACCATGGCTAATGCACACACAGACAGAACTACAAAAATAGTAGTCTCATTTACACCCTCTTTCTCCCTGCCGGCTGCTCCTGGGAGGTGGAGAGGGAAATGTCTCATTAGAGACGGCGGTGAGGGAATATGTGTGAGTGCTGCAGCTCACTGCACAGGCTGGTCTCACTCGCTCAGCTCAGAAGAGTGCTGACCATTGCATTCCATTAGCGCTCTCACCCCATCAATTTATACCAAGTTTAGTTGTGAAAGTCTTTTGCTTCAGTGGCATGTGTGTTTATTTTTACCATAGGCTTAATTTGCAGGTGGGAGGAGTGGGATTTTTTTTTTTTTTTTTGCCAGGGTCAATATTGTCCATCACTTTTTGAATCGTCTTGTGGCAATTCTTACATATTGTACCTTTAACCATTTGGGGATTATGCTTAAATGCTAAAAAGTCTAAACTGGTGGGTTCAGACTAAATTAAGTAAGTAGCTTCAGCTTAGATGTGGTGTGTTATTAATTTTGGCGTCATTTTTTAGGTTATGTTTCTTTGGTTTTTTTTACTTTCTGTGCCAGTGGCACAACGAAAGTGCTGTTATGTTATAAAAATGTGCTTTATGACTCTAAAGCCATGAAAGTGTTGATATCAAGCTATATTATAGATAAACGGCATTGGCAGTTAGCACTTGAAGTGCTCAAGAAGTGAAATAAGGCCACTCAAGGAACTGTTGAAAAGGGTGGAAGGGAGTGTTTTACCACCACAATTGACTGTTTTGTTTGGGTTGATTTATTTCAGTGCAATAACCCAAAGACCAAAGAGCCCAAGCTGAGTGCAGCCGTGAGGATTGTTCCAGAATGGACTGAGTATGACAATGAGATAAAGCAGTTTCTGAAACAGGTGAAGGACCAGGAGAAAATTACCCAGGGTAGACCATCATCACAGCACACAGGTAAGACTTAATCATCACTAAAATATATTTTTTAGTAAGCCTTGGGATTAAACAAGTTCATGAACATCATTTGTATTTTAACAGGCACTCGACGTGATGAACTTTAGTATTCGATGGTTGCACCTAAACTTCCTGTGAATCTTGAACTCTACCATACAGAGATATTTACCATAACAGGAACACTGAGGAAATATAATAATGGACTTAAGCATTTTTTTAATTTATATAATTTTTTTGAATTCTTTCTGACTTCATTCAAACTGTATACATGACATACTGTTTTATAAATTGTTGACAAAAAGTAGTAAATAAATTGCAGTGTTATCTGATATGTTTGGCCAGTCTACGAACTTAAAATGGCACTGGTGTATATCTGTAATATTTTTAGGAGGAAAAACATGCCAACTTTGAATACTCCAGAGAAGACTGTAAATGCCTTTTTTTGTTAAAAAAAAAAAAAAAAAAAAAAACAATTCTGTAAATATTCCATTACCATATTTTGTCAGTCAGTGCAAATAGGGTACCTGAGATTTCAAATGGTTGCTTTATAATAAAGGTCTCATCCTAAATTCACTTATAAATTGCCTTGATATTTTGAAATACTACGAAGTAGAGTTCATATAGTTTTATTTCCAAAATAAAATTTACACAATTGTAAACCATTATTGGAAATGGGAATTCAAATTACTGTATTCACTGCTGACAAAGTTTGTCAACTGCAGATCCAATCCACAAAACAATCTCTAGGTAATGAGGTGGATCTTTTACATTCCCCATTTTATTTATATTGTTATCAAATCATTGTCTCTGTACATGTTTGCTTCTATGCCTTGATGTTCAAGGATGTGGATTTTCTCAGGAATAAAATATTTTTGTCAACTTGTCTTTTTACGGTGTCTAAAACCAGGCAAAAATAACCTATTCTTTTAAATAAGCATTCATCTCTCTTTATTTAATTATTTACATCATTATTTGATTCATAGAAAAATAATGTAATTTTCTATGTACATATTATACTCAGGAATGAAACGTTCAACACGTATAGACGTTGCTTGAAGAATAACCTTGTGTTCTGGATTGTAAGATCCCTGAAAGTAGAGGAAGTGCTTCAAGGAACAACAGTGAGCAAGCAGGATCACTTGACAGCTTGTTTCAAGGAGCTCGTCATATCGGATTCATGCCTGCGGGAAGGGTCAGAAGGTGCCAGTCCCTATTGGCTGATTTTAGCACATATTCAGGCCCTAGGTCCTTTTAGTCAAGCCTTAGTTGAAGCCAAATTTGAAATTAAATGGCCCAGAACCAAAAGGATTAAATCCCTGAAAGTTGTCCCAGCCACCGTGGAAGTGGTGATGGTGATGTCCCCCACCCTGCTGACTCTCTGGATCCATGGGATCCTCGCCCTGGTCAAACTTACTCCTCATCTCTGCAGAGAAACAGAACAGGACGTAATTACCATAGAACCGAGCAACAACAGTGTAAAGTACACCACATGTGGCACTAAACCATACCTGGGTTGGTGAGAACTTCTTTGGCTTGAGCGATGTCTATGAACTTCTTCTCTGCCTTTTTCTTTTCTTCTTCAACCTGGAAGTTGTCTGGATGCCACTGCTGCGCCAACTTTCTGTATGCTTTCAGGATCTCTTTCTTTTGGGCAGTTCTGCAACCACAGCAGTTTAATAAGAATGTTTACTCGTTTCGAAATGAAAAAATGTTAGGCCTCTGCATTGATAATACATACTAAAGTTCTCCATCATCTGTTTATCTAACCTCTTCACACCCAGGATCTTGTAGTAATCCCTCTTCTTGGACTGTTTGAGGAGCCGGTGTGCTCTCTCCAGACCCTCCTTGATCTGCCGGTCATTCTCATTATGTTCTTTAGCACTCTCAAAGTCCTTAATGGCTGCCAAAAGAACAAATACGTCACCACACCTGATCATTTTAAGAGCAATCTTGAGAAAGAAGCCTATCTGTTGATTATTTAAACTGTAAAGTTTAAAAGATAAAATACAACAATACTGCTGAGAATGAACATACAGAAACCATAATAATAAATTAGCTTTTCAAAAGCTTTACAGTGCCATTATGTCTCTGTCAGACAACATTTAAATTTGTATTGCCATACGTTAGGGGAATTCTTCATATCTTAGTAAAATTATAAATCACACAATATACTGGGAATTGCTGATAATATGAATGAGTAATGCATTTTATTGCATTTATTTTAATTAGCAAATTTATTAATTCCATTATTTATCAATTAATATTTCAACTGCATGCCCTATGTATTAACTAATAGGACTACGTTATTAATAATATATAATTAGTAAACATGCTACCTTCTTCATATTGGTCATCCTGGAGGAGGGCCTCGGCTCTGTCTTTCAGAGCATTCACATTATGAGGGTCTGCATTCAGAACTTCACTACACAATGAGATGGCTCTAGCAGTTTGTTGGTCCTGTGGAATAAAACCAAAACATATTCACCTTATTCTATCACTCCCACACAGATGCAGTGTATGCTTTGGTAGAGAGCGACACCTTGTGGTTGTGGAGCTCAGTCTTACCTTTGACAAACAGTGGCACATGCGCTCTTTGGCATTAAGTATGAACTGAGGAACATTTGGTTCAGTCTTCATAATGGACTCATATTTATTAACTGCATCACTGTACCTGTGGATTTAGGAAAAAAAACATTTAGTTGTCAATCGATGAATGTGCATTCACACAAAAAAACATTTAGTTGTCAATCGATGAATGTGCATTCACAAGTTTAAAATCTAAGAGAAAAAAAAAGTATTTATCCAGGACACATTAAATGTATCAAAAAGTGACAGTAAAGACTATTCTATTTCAAATAAATGCTGTTCTTTTCATTGAATTCTGCAAAACAATATATAAAGTTGTCCACAAATATTAATCAGAACCCTTGATAATAATAAGAAATGTTTCTTGAGAGCCAAATCTGCATATTAGAAGGATCATGTGACACAGAAGACTGGAGTAAAGATGCTGAAAATAAAGTTGCCATCACGGGACTAAATAAAACTTTAAAATATATTACAATGAAAAAAGATGTTTGATATTGTAATAATATTTCCCAATATTACTGGTTTACTGTTTTTTTATTCAAATAAATGTAGCCTTGGTGAGCAAAAGAGACATCTTTCAAAACATAAACATTACAGATCCCAGACGTATGTGCACGTATAAATATTTTGAGACATACTTCTGCTCCTGGATCAATTCTTCAGCGCCCTGTATCTGTTTGTTGAGCTTCTTAACTTGCTTGTAGTGACTAAAGCACTGCTTATGATCCGGGTCCAGTTTCAGACACTCCCTCACCTCACTGCAGACAAAAAATAAACTCTTAAATCTGGATCCAAACGTTGATTAGAAATTCAAAATAACCAGGATGATACTCACTTTTGACATAGTGTGGCATTATGTACATTCTTTGCATTTTGCAGTTAATTTCACATACTATTATCAAAACAATGCAAGTAGTTTACAGTGTAGGCCTATATTGTACACTCCAAACTCCCAGACTTAATGCATTATAATCACGTGTTGACTTACTTGAGGGACATCTCATGGTCTCCCAGACTATAATAAATGGTGCTGAGCTTGTAGAAAGCCTGAGTGTTGTCACTTTTGAGTTTTGAAGCAGCCTTGAGGTCACTGATGGCTTTGCCCATTTCACCCAACTGAATGAAACACTCGGCCCGCATCTCTCTGGAGTCCGCATCCCAAACACACGTCTGAGAGGATGTCAAGCAAATGTAATCCATTGTTAGCTTTGTATTTTAAATATGAATCTTTTGCTGTTGACATTGAATATGCTATTTGTTCTGTTTTCAGTTCATGCAAAGCAAATTTTCTGAACAAACAGTGCTCTTATTGAGCACAAACAATCCTTTTCTGCACCAGGATGGATCACCTACAGGAACCTCTAGGGTAAATACAAACTATCATGTTTATAAAGGGAGGGACATTACCCAGGTCACTACTATTTTAGCATCACCGATATACTATTAAAATGTTTTTAATGTATTGAATGGGATTTTATGTTTTTGTTAATTTACTTTAAAAGTTTTAGTAATTTTGTTCTCTGTTTTTGCCACTTATTGCCACTTTATTTTTTTTTTTATTTTTTTATTGCAGTTAACGTTTATTTTGTTTCAAGTTTTTTTTTTTTTTTTTTGTTATGGTTTCAGTTTTAGTTACGGATAATAGCTTGATCCAGGTTAACTCACATCAATGATGATGTCGAGGTGTGATGTGGCAGAGCTGTAGTCTTTGCGGTTGAAATCGCTCTGTGCCAGGGCCACCAGTCTCTGAATTTCATCAGATTTTTTCAGCTGGCTCTGCGCCTGCTGCTCCTCTCCATTGCTTGGGTTTGATTTGAGCTGGATGAAAAAAGGAAAAAATATGTCATCCTTAAGGGCATGAAAAGGTAGTAAGTATCAGAACAGCACAACAGTCGAAAATACATTTTGGTCCAAAACTAACAAAAACTATGACTTAATTAAACATTGTATTGTCTTCCGGTTCTGTCCGCTGCGACACTGCTAATGTAAGACGCTGCTGACGTGTTCAAACCCAAGTAACCAGAGAAGACGCCAGCAGCGTCACTGCAGACTTGTGAACACAGAACCGGAGGAGAATAGAATGTTTAATAAAGTCATCATTTTTGTTATTTTTGGACCGTGTATTTTCGATGCTTCAAAACATTCTAACTAACCCACTGATGTCACATGGACTACTTATATGATGTCTTTATTTCCTTTCTGGACAAGGACAGTATACTGTGTATACATTTTCAATGGAGGGACAGAAAACTCTCGGACTAAATCTGAAAGATCTTAAACTGTGTTCGAAGATGGTGTTACAGGCTTGGAATGACATGAGGGTGAGTCATTAATGACATAATTTTCATTTTTGGGTGATCTAACCCTTTATTAGTTCTCCTCATAGGTGATACAATTATATTATATGGTATAAGAACTTAAGCTCAGAACTTAGGTAGCCATGCTTGCTGACTAAACATACACTGATCAGAAAATGTTATGCCAAAACCAATAACCTGTATTTTACCATTATGTTAACAAATACTACCCTTATCTGCAATACTTATTTTCAAAGACCCACTTTTACACATATTAAACCAATGATCAGCTTTGGTCTGATTGGTGCATCTCTAATGCTAACCAAATGTCACTCACCACTCTTTTGAAATCATTTTCTGCTTCATCAAGTTTGCCATGTTTCAGCAGTAGATTTCCTCTCTGAAGCCTAGCCTGTGGATTAAGAAGAAACACTACTTAATTTCTGGGTAACAGGTTTCATTAAATAAATTAAAAATACTGTACATATTTTTTACAGGATGAAATTATTCTGAAAACCCACCGATGTGAAATCTGGTTTAAGTTCAATGACTTTGCTGAGGTCTGGTAGTGCAGATTTTGACTTTCCCATTGCTAGGTACACAGTTGCTCTCCTATAGTATGCCATGTAATTTTGGGGATCACCGTCTGATAATTAATAAAAATAAAAATGAATAAATCTAGACACACTGCTTACATCAAAGTGGTATTCTGTGGAAAACAATGTAACATTGCATCATTACACACAAGATTTAATAACGGTTGTCATGTAAAAAGATCCAGTACTCACCAACAGCAGCGTGGAAGTGAGATAAAGCATCAGCCAGCTGTCCTGCAGCCAGAAGCTTCTTCCCCATCTCCAGATGATTCTCAACACCACCATCCTTCCCACCATTAACTCCTGCAATACATGTAAAAAGAAAATATGTTGGTGTATGTTGGTAAGACAGTATAACAAGGTATGCATGCAATATCTGCATGACATATTCAGTAGTAGACAGAGTACACTAAAGGAGAAGCTTAGTGTAGTGCACATTAAAGTTGGTATGGCATAGTATGTCCATTAGAATGGAGTAGATTTCACTTGAGTAAATTACAATAGAGACAAGTAGACTAGATTAGTAAGTTGACACTGTGTCAACCTATTATTGCAGTGGAACCACGGTGTTTCAGGCTCAGCAACAGAAAAAAAAAAAAAAAAAAAACATATACTGTAGAATGAATAACACACAATAATCATCATTGAGCTTAAAAAAAATGCTTGACAGGTAACTGGAACCTCAGCTGCGTTTCTGTACTATAGTTCTCCATACTCTCTCTATGAATAACATCTAAACAGCTGGGATTGTTCTCACTGTCTTTGTTTGGGGTTTATTTTAAAAACAACGAACAAAGCTATTTTCTCTGAACAACTGTCATGAAGACGTACGTATAGTTCACTAACAAACCCGGTTAAAAACAATTCATTAACCAGCACTACCATTTTATCACTTACCTTCGTATCGAAGATCGATCAAAACTAGTAAAAAAGGAACGTAGCTTAGCAATTTGTGCGCCACTGGGCTTACGGCAACCATGTTTTCTTATTTTCTGCGTCAAATCACTGATTTAGGCTATTGTATAAAGTTCCTAAGACCAAAGACACGCTGGACAATCGCATAGCTGTCAGACCAGCAGACATCATGCCCACTAATCGTGGGTCTCTCTGATTGGCTGATATTTCCATAAACCCCACCCATCAAGTACTGTTCAACGGAGACTAGCCACGGCATCATTATTTTGATTCTGTTTGCGCATGCGCACACGACAGTGAGTGCGCATGGTGCGCAGATTGGCCCTGTCCCAATACCCACTCACTAAGCCCTATTAAGGTCTTCCTCGAAGTGGACACTTGTTGAAAGTGCACTTAGCGGAGTAAGAGCAGAATTGGGACAGGTTTGCACACGTTACAATCTCACCTCTGTTGTGATCAGGCAGGGGAGCAAACACCGTTCATTTGGCACATTTGGTGTGTGCTGCTTATAATAGCTGTAATATGACACAATCCTTTGAATGAAAAAATGTATATCTTTTTTTTTCTTTTATCTCTACCAACATTTCTGTTAATGTGAGTAATATTAAAACAGTTTTTGGATAAAATAAATTGTGATAAGATAAATTGTGATTGCGGTACCTGAGCTGCCTTACAGGAATCATAGCGATTCGAAATGCATTTTTAATTATATTATTATGGAAATTGATATATGAAATTCTTCCCATCCCATGAAATATATAATATAATATCCCATAACAAAGTGAGGTATGATGCGCACTTGCGAAAGGGGTGCATTAAGTACCCTTGTGACCTGCACCCCTGGAGTACTATTAGGATCGGGACACCCTACGGTCTTGCGCCCCTTAGCGAGAACGCGCATTGAGGGACACAAGGGCGCAAGTGCAGATATTGGTACAGGGCCATTGTTGTATGGAAGCAAGTCATGTGATTACAATGAATAAAAAGCTGCAGTTCGCATTTTTTCCCTCTTTGTCGCCATCTCTGTTCGAAATCTGCAGTTGCAGTCATTCCCCGAATTGTCGACTTTACGTGAGTTGTGGTTCGACATGGCACAGCACGGATGAACACAATGTTTGAGGAGACTGTGAGGCTGTCAGTTGTCACACCGGTGTGGATACTGGCATTCAGAATCACAAATTATTTGTTTTGGAAGTTGTTTTGGACATAATAATTTAACATAATAATTATTTGTTTTGAAAGTAGTTTTGGACTAACATAATAATTTTCACCGGAAAATGTCATCTGAACAAGTAACATCCACTTTTGTTCTGGTTTTGACATTGCAGTAAATCGCACTGATAAAATCTAAAAATCGCTTATTTTTATATTTAATTATTGCATGTAGTCGCGCAACGTTCGCATTGCGTGACTATGTAATTTCCTTCCAGGCGATTTGTATCCTTGTTTTCACATGGATTTGTTTGCAGTCTGTCTGTTTTTCTGTAGCCACTCTGAAGTCTGAGCGAAGTCTTTTGCATTTTACAGCGGGTGAATCTGTTGTCACTGGTGACTGTTGTTTGATCCGTTCTGGATCCGACATCAAATTGATCAATTTAATCATATCAAGTGCTGTGAGAAAAGGCTATGAATCTCCACCTCCAGCATCCTCACACAATATAGCTTAGGCTACACTAGCCAAGACTCCTTCAAGTGTACAGAATCTCCCGCGGAAATCCACAAGTAAACAATAAACACCACTGTCGAGTAGATATTTGCGTTGTTGGTCGGCCACACCGTTTTTTTTTTTCTGTTTTCTTCTGTTGCAGCGTGTTGAGCCCTCTCAGCCACTGTACTAAAAAGCAACAGAAACCAAGCAATAAATTAAATTGATACAAACAGTAAAGCAAAAGTGTAAATGTGTCATGGATAAATCGTAAAATACAGAAACAAACAAAAAGTAGATGATAAACGACATGAAATACAAATCATATTTACAGATGTACAAAAAAAAGTAAAAAGGGGGGAGGGGGGTCTTCAGGACGTTACGGAACCAACTAGAACTGTTACTATGTGTAAAGAACCTTTGAAGAACCATCTTAAGAATATAAGAATACAAAACACCCCATTTCAAATATAAATAAATAAAAACACTTCCCTTGTCCCAGATCAACAAGACCCATCATCCTCCAAAAAGAGGGAGAAGATTATTCCTCACAATCAGTATCAATTGTTGACAAACACATAAAAGTTATCTCAAGTCTGCGTTGTCATCGGAGCAAGCAGTCTTGTAGCCATGGAGCCGCAGGTTGAACAGAGAAGTGAGTGGTAGTACTCTCCTCATAGAGATTACAGTGACACTAAAGGGCAGTGCCAACCTCACATTTGCCACCCAGGCTAACTATCTTTCAATATTCATCCTCGGGGGGCCCATTCCGCCTGAGAGCTGAGATCCCTTTACCCATTTAGTCACCACCTCTCTGTTTTTTTTAAAGTCTCTCCCATCTGAAATTTTCTCCTTCCAGTAAGCACAGGAAAAAGCAATCAAGTCCGACCAATTTACCACTCTACTCAGGAAGGATATTTTCCACTTACCATAGAGGCTACTTTATTGGCAGTGGTTGTGAAATTATGGCAGTCACTATAAACATAGCTTCAGCTGTTTGCATATTCTCTCAATGAAATGTCTGTTAGAAACAAATTCCTAGTTTTATTATGCTATTTCTTCATTTTGACTGCATATTAAATATAATATGTCATGTATTACATCTTGACAATCTTGATGTTGAATGAAAAACTGTTCATACACCAACCGATTGTTTCTATGGCGAATAGGCCTACTTTTTTATTATTCAATTTTATTAATAGTAAAACCTTGTTTAAAATACTGTCACAATTCATCCTGTGTTGGGTTGCAATATGGAAGCCCATTGCTGTCACAATTATGGGTTAGAACATCAACACGATTTTCAACACGATTTGGGGTCCAACGTCAATCTGACGTCATGACGTCCTGTGTCTGTTGGGGGAGGAGTCCCGAGATTCGCATGGTAGGAGGGGTACTGACAAATGTAATCAAAAAACTCAAAATGTTGCTTTTTTATGAAACTTTCCCACATTGTTGTGTTGTCAAGTGTTGAAAAAAATGCATTAAGCTATAATAAAAGTTTTTTGTTTGTTTGTTTAAAATCAGAGGGTTGTTTGTTTAAAATCAGAGGGTATTTTGATATATCAAAATTTAACAAAAATAAAATGTTAAACGCTGGCAGGGAAAGAGTTAATATTTCATGAACATGGACTGATGAGATCAGAAGTGTGCAACCGATCAATTGATTACATGCTTTTAAGAATGTTTAAACAGGCTTTTAGGATGTAATGGGGGAAATGGATTATAATTGCAGAGACCAAAGCAATTTGCCAGAGAAAGTGCAATTCTATAGCCTAGGGATGTTGAGCAAACACTCTGTGGTTTAGAATGGAAAGTCTTACAGTATGTTAATGCTAAATCTCTCGGACCTTCTTCCTTTTTATCAGATGAGCAACATCTTCAGTGCTGTGTGGATTTACAGTCTCATTCCAGGTAAGATAAAGTTTTAATGTGACTGAAATTGTTTTGAATTTGTTTCTGTGCTTCTACAAACACTGCCAGTTAACACATAAATATTTATTCTTATTTGATATTAAACACTGTAAAAATGAATATGCTTTATCTAATAAAAAAATGTGGCAACGGATTAAGCAATATTAGTAATTAAATGTAACAAATTAGAATTGAGGTAATAATGAATCAAATTAATTCCTTCAAAGTTAACCATTTAAAACGAGTAAAACTTACAACAACAACTAAAAAACATAAATTTAAGTCACCATTATGGTTATCTGTGTTTGTTTTAAGGTTTGTTTTAAAATTACAGTTTTCTGATTCAGTGATGCTTGTTAACATCAGGTGTCTGTTGGAAATATAAAATAAAAAGTTCTTAATTAATCGTTGACGTCTGTCTGTTATGAGATATGCTTGTTAAATTTTACTCATTTTAAATGGTAAACTCTTAAGGAATCATTTTTTTAATTATTAATAGATTCTAATTTTTAATATTTATTAATAATATGGCTTGTAATCTGTTGCCACAAGTTTATTGATTAGATAAAGGGTATTAATTGGATAGGAATGCAACTGCTGAAATAAAAGTTATTATACGTATTAACCTTTTGATGCACAACATGGGTCTAAATAGACCCGACTGAGTTTTCATTTTCTATATCTTTGCAAGAAATTAATTTCATCACTCAGTATTCCAGGTATTCCTCAATTAACTTGTTTTTGATCATCACAAATCCTTATTTTTATTTTTCATTTCTTACTTTTTGAATAAAAATAGTTTTTTTATAGCAACCCTTCTAATGCGCAACATGGGTCTAAAAAGACCCGTATTCATTTCCTATGGTATTTCAGTGATGGCTGAGTGTTTTCTTTGCTGAATCTTTAAAATATATGTATTTTATCATTTGTTATTCCAGATATTCATTAAATATCTTGTTTTTGATTTCCACAAATCATTGGGTTTATGTTTCCTTTCTTACTTTATAAACAAACACAGTTTTTGTATTTCTACATCAATTTTACATACATGGGTCTAAAAAGACCCGTATTCATTTCCTATGGTATTTCAGTGATGGCTGAGTGTTTCTTTGCTAAATCTTTAAAATATATGTGTTTTTTTATCATTTCCTTTTCCAGGTATTCATTAAATATCTTGTTTTGATTTCCACAACTCATTATGTTTATGTTTCCTTTCTTACTTTATAAACAAACACAGTTTTTGTATTTATACATCAATTTTACATACATGGGTCTAAAATGACCCATATTCATTGAAATGTTATTTCAGACTGAGTTTTCATGAAATGTTATTTCAGTGATGGCTGAGTGTTTCTTTGCTGAATCTTTAATTTAAAATATGTTTTTTTAATCATTTCTTATTCCAGGTATTCATTAAATATCTTGTTTTTAATTTCTACAAATCATTATGTTAGGGTTTTTTTAATTTATTTCCTCATCAATTTTACATACATGGGTCAAAATTTTTTATTAATCTTAATTTATTTTAACCACAGACATTATATATATATATATATATATATATATTGTAAAAGATAACAAAATAATATCTCAATATTAGGCTATGGTTACCTTGACCTTGTAATCCTAGTGAGA